CAGGGACACAGGAGAGCAAATTTCCAACGCTTGGATTAAGCTGAAGTTTCCATGATAATTTCCCCTCCCCTTCGTAATTTGGCTGGAAGGGCCCCAGCTGCTAATTCTTTATAAATAGCGTGTAGCACAGATTGCCTCTGGGGAGAATGGGGCTCAGTGGAGAGGCTTGGGCACAAATCGAGCCGGAAAAAGCACAACATACACATTTTGACAAACATATGGGACCATCACTGAGGACGAAAGCGAGGTACATGTGACTTTGACTTGCCTCACGTGGATTCAACAAAGAGTGAATTAGAAAAGCAACAATCAAGTGTGGTCAACTGTCAAGCTGTGGAACAGGGAAAAGGTATTTTTTTAATTATAAAAAATACTGTAAAAGCTCTCACCTATATACTTCCAAATGATGTAACAGCTGAGACCACACATGCTAATATACAACAGAAGTTTGAGGGGCACTCAGTCACTCATGTTTGGACAATTCAAAAACAAGCAAGCTTCAAAGTGAGGTCAGAGACCCTGAACTGGGGGCAAAAGAGTTTACAAAGGATCAAGGCTGGTCCTTGCAACACAAGAATATGTGGGTAAAGGCAACAAGTGGAAGAAATTACAAAAAAGGCATTACATTTAGACACTGTTTTCAAATCGTTAAGCAAGAATTTCAGTTTCAAGAGACCTTTCAATATGAAAGCATCAAAGTGATAAATAAGGCTGAAAGGGGGGGCTCACTGTGGGGAAGAAGCCTGAGAATTGTGGACCCCTCCTTGTCCCATGCCTGTATGTCCTATTCAGCCCAGCAAAGGGGGAGCAGGTTGGACTCAAGCGCAACAAATTATCTAAATATCTTGTGAAAAGCCTTTGAGGGATTTCAATTCAACTGTTAAAAAAAAATAATAATCAAAAGAACAACGGGAAGATTTATGAAGCCTGGTGGGTGGAACACGATGCCAAACAGCAGCCCATAACTTCAGCAGGCAAGGAGGACAAGTGTCTTTTCTCCCTTTTTTGTCATTGTTGGTATTTTTGTTTAGCTTCAGCAGAAATGTAGGCACTTCCAGATATAAAAGGAAAGAGGAAGAAAAACAGAAAAACGAAATTTTCAGCTTGAGTGGTTTCTTCAAACGAAATCCAAAGGCTGAGCCTCAATGGGGTCTTTTGGCGCTTTTGGAGCTTTTTTTTTTTTTTTAAGGAAGCGCAGCAGTGGACGTGTTTAGCATTTGGTGGCCCTTGTCCTTCCATTGTACCTTCACCACAGTGGCTGCCTACTCCGTGGCCTGACCCCGGCAAGGCGCACTGTACTGCGAAAGGCTCAAACTTAAACAGAAATTGTGTTTGACTTCCCCTTTGCTCTATCACATCTGTTCCCATGCCCCCGAAGGCACCAACGATGCATGGCTCACAAAGATGTGAACACTCTAGCAAATTCTAGGGGGCGACTGACAGCTCAATATGTTCCTTACGTAAGCCCAAAAGTTCTGCTAGCAGAGACACAGAGAGGAGAGGCTGGACACCTCAAAATGCTGCTAGACATGTGTGTTAGAAAGTTTAACTATTACAGTAAGGAAAAGTAAAGGTAAAACAACTACCCTTGTTTAATTCCATTTTTGAGAAAATAGAGAACTTTAAAACTTTTAATGAGATCTGTTTCGGAAGAGTTGTTTAGAGCTTGTATGGTTTAGAACGTGAGCTGAGGTCTGAGAGCATAGTGCCTCTACACCACATATATACATATATATATATATATATATATATATATATATATAAATATATATATGTGTGTGTGTGTGTGATCAAATATTTGGTTCCATTTTATGTACACTTCACAGGAAGCAGTGCACCCCCCATGGGACAGGCTGGCGCACAGCATCTAAAACTCCGGACAAGTGAAGGAGCTGGGGGGAGCAAGGGGTTGACACAATTAACAGTTGCTCTGAAACTGCCTCATAGACTGGGATGGCCTCAGGTGAAAAGCTCAAAGTGTTATTCTAGCTCATTATTCAGCACTGTATAAAAACTCCATAACTAATTATTATTATTATTTTTTTTACATTTACATCACTTGAAAATACTAGCTGCCCTTTACATTGTGCACTGTTATGTAATGATAAATGGACCAATAAAAAAATTGAAAAGCAAGCCTTTAAAAATTGTTTTTTTAAACATTAAAGAACATTTTGTTTCTGAGTTTTCTTATAACAGCAACAATGTGCTTACAGCTGCAGCCACAGCCACATTCTTCATTTCCTGCTGTGATGGAGTGTTGCTGGGTGAGCAATAGAAAATAGTCATGCATGGATGATAGGCAGTCAGGGAAAAAAAACACAATGTGCTTAGCGTAGCTGATGTTTCATTGTCAACACATCAAGAGCCTCTTAACGCTGAATAGCTCCTGTCCGAGATAGGGAGGAGGCAAAGCCTATTCAAGGCCTTGGCACAAGCTTGGTGTGCTATTGTGCTGCATGACAGTACAAACACCCACCTGCTCTGGCAGATTTAGAGACACTTCTGTTGGTCAGATACTGTAAAGTAAGCAAAACTCTCCCGCTTTCAAAAGGGCCAAAGCTCCTTCAATAAGGGCACAGCTAAGAGAGTGATGGACAAACAAATCCACCAATCACAAACTTAGTTTCCTGCTGAAACATGCCTTAGCCTCTTTGCCCCTAGGGGCATAACCCAGAGAGCTTTAAGAACGAGAAAGGCTAATAAAATGTGGCGTGCCAAAAGCCCATCTGTCCACAAAGTCAGGAGCAATGTGTCCACAAGTAATAAAAGCAGGCCATAAATGGGCCCCAGCTTAACAGATAAGTTAAGTCTTTCACAACGCTGGCGTGGGACTCAGTGAACAAAAATAAATAAAAATATAAAAACACAGCTCATTTGCACTACTGCACAAAACATATATAGAAGCAATAGGTCAAAGATATTAGGCTAACGCTTTAACACAAGCAGCATCAGCCTTCACTTTATTACTGATCTGTCCACTAATGGAAACAACCAGCCAACTCTATTCACAAAACTCTCCACTCCCGACATACAGTGTCAGACTGAAACTAAAGTGCAAGACAAGGCTGGCTGGGTCAACACTACTGCACAAAACATTTTGGAGACATATGTTGTATGACAAAAATGATACATAACAACGCCCATCCATTCACAATCACTATAGCCAATCAGATGAGGGAAGGGAGAGTAGGAGGATCTTGGAGGATCGTTTATTCACTTTTCATCAGAAATGTTTGAGCATTTACATGTTTACAGCATCACCAGACACAGAGGAGTCCAAATTAAAGGAGGAACACAGTTAAGAATACAGGTCACATGTTATAGGACAGCAGCAATAATGCTTTTGAGATAACTTCTCTAATGTGTTCTTGCAAGCAGTCCTCTCATTAATGTCAATTTTAATTATCGCAGAAAAAGACTGAAAGAAGAGGAGCATAACACTGCAACTGCAGGAGTGTGGCAATGCAGCATAAAATGCAAGCAAACCCAGAATGGTATAACATAAAGAAAGTGAAAGGACAAAGTCACTGCATGTCAACTATAATTTGGAACAAGAAGCACTTACAAACTTACTAACAAAAGTCTGACACAACAAAATACACAAATGAAAAGCTGCAATACAATTCTGCAGCAGTGCAAGGCGGTACAAATTGTGTTCACTTAGTAAGTTTGGTCTAACTGTGAAAGCTTTTAAAATGCAGTTCAAAAGCCGCATTCGAAGTCACTGGCGTGTTGCGCTCTGGCTGGAAGCCAAGGACACGATTGTCCACTCACAATACCATCACCTCCCTCCACAGCAAACATTCGGACTGTATACCTGCTCCTCAGAGCAAAAACCTAATGCCCCAACCACACAGCAGACAGAGAATTAGAGGTGCAGTGTCAGCAAATCACAAGCATGGAAGCTGGTCTGACAATGATGAAATGAATAACAAATTATCTAATATATAAATATATAAAACACTCTATTGACAAGCATTTATAATTAGGTTACCAATGACATGAGAAATTCTGATGCATAACCTAAATAATAAAACTTCTGATTAAATAGATTTATAGTAGTCAAATGGAATCCATAAAAACGTTTTCTGCATTAAACTAACTCCATTTGGGCCAAGCAAGTGACAGAACTAGGACATCCTATTCAACTACATGGCATCAAACTTCTCAGGCAGTTACATCTGACTTCTGTTTACCCTTAGACCACTCTACTCACAGCATGACATACTCAGCTTTTCATAAACTCCTGTCTACATCGGTGCACAGGGTCAGATGCGTCCTCAGCACAGTGAATGCTGAAACACTGCCACAAATAGCTGTGCTCAAGTTCCGCAAATTCAGATTTATACTTTAGGGCAAACACTCTCAAACACCACAGCAGTTGCACATTTTATCATAATGTGTCTAAACTAAATTCAAAATTTTATTTTGCTGTCACAATTAACTGATGCTAACATGATAAAACAGAATCTGTAGCTGTTTTCCCTTGATCTAACATGGTCTTCTGGCTTGTTAGGATCACAGGACTAATATACATTTACCATAGAAAAGCACAGTTTTAAAAAAGTTTGAACACATTTTTGAACTTTAATGCCATAGTGACTGGCTAGTAATAAAACAACTTTTAAAATTTGGAATTTTATATGGGCACAAGACAAATAAAATGAGATTACCCCAAAAAAATGCAAAAAAGTTTGTTTGTGTTGACTAAATGTAAATTTCTTGTACTGATGCGTAATCATCTGTTTTAGTAGCAACATGTGGAAGTGTCAGTTCATGTTGGCCATTTGCAATTTGCAAATAAAAAATTATAAAAAAAAAAAAACCTCCTTCAATTACTGGGTGCCAAGACTTCAGTGATAAAAGAGAACTTTAACTACTCATCAATATGCAAAATATAAAATGTCTACAACAAAAGTTAAACTTTGTATCTTCTCTCTTTCTTTCTGTCAGCAAAAACAGAGAGAAAAAGTGATGCCATGAACTAAGTGACTCACCAAAATGCCAGAAAACTGTTTCTCCTCCATTATGGGGAAGTGTTCTCTCCTCTCTCAGAAGGATGCCCGCCGGCAGCGGCTCTCTGCTTTCAGGGACTCGTCCTGCTGGGGGCTGCTGGGTGTGCGTCTCAAACCTCGGTGTGTGTCTCCCCCCTGCACTCTCTCTCTCTCTCTGTCTTGCAGTCTCTCTCTCTCGCTCCTCTTGTTCACTTGCTGGCTACTTTGCAGTGCTGGGCTGAAGTGGCGTCTCTGCTTTGTGCTAATTCTGTGCTAATCCAGGAACTTTTCTATGCTGTGAAAGGGACATGTGACAGAAAGAGGAGGGAGGGGCAGAGGCAAAGGAAAAAATACTGTTTAGCTTCTTACCATGTGTTTTCCTATTTACAACAACCATTTCATAATGGCAAGGGTGAGCACATGGAGAAGAAGAGGTAAAACTCACTGTAATGGTTATTTTCTAAAGAAACTACTTTTTACCTTTCTTTTTTCCCCCTTTAGGACATATTCTGATATCCTGTTAATAGGCAACATAACTACTAAAAATACACTTACTCTAGGCCCTTCTAAAGTTCCTCAAAAGGTCCTTCTCAACAAACTGATTATCATCACTAACATACATAAGCATGTCACACATTAAACAGCCACAAGCTGCTACCGTGGACAGTTAGCACTTCTGTGTTTCAGATTTCTGTGTCTCACAATTCCTGTGCTCAAACATGACTTGCACAATTCACTGAATCCCTAATCACACTAGAAACACACGGAGGCCCTTATCACTTATCGCTACTCATTTGGCTATCAGCCAAAGACCATAAAAACACAGCAAAAAAGTGCTTACTTCTTGGTTCTAATCTCTAGAAATGTAATTACCCCCCAGATGTTTTAGAAGCACCTCAGCAATTAACATTAATAATAATGTGTATTGTTCAGTTGATTTAGGTCAAGTTGTTAAGTAACATTAAGCTTGTTCATCAAAGATTTACTCACATATTTGTGATAAATATTACTAGATTTTTGTTTCAGTGTTCATGGCAACAGTGAAGCCAATAGTGAATTACCAGTCCAAATAAACTGCAAACAATCATTCAACTCTAAAATACCATTCAACAATTTCTAAATGGAAGATGAACATCTTTTAATGATTGAAGCCATTTGTCATATTCACTATTCAACAATTTCTAAATTAAAAACACAATGACATTAAAATATCGGTGGGCTCAGATCATTTGGAATCCCATTCACCCTGACAGCAGTTACTACTGCAGGTTCTGAGTGACAGTCACCAGTCTCTCAGACTGACAGGCTGGCTGGAATCAATACCTGCAACATAACAGAATGCCATGTGTTGGGGTAGAACTTTCAAACACCACAAGCACATACACTCAGATTCAACTGCGTGCATGTCAACCTGACCTAGGCAAAACTGGAATTCAATGAAAGAAACCAGATACTTGCTTCTACGGCCACCGGCAGTGTGAGGCAGAAAATAGATCACAGCGTAAAACAGAGAAGTATAAATCAGCCCCTGGACAGCGCCCCACAAGGTAAAACTTATTGTAGCACAGTTCAATTTGCCATGGAACGAAAGCGCATGGCGAAGGAAAAAAAATAGCATGTCCAAACATAGACACCATTCATAAATCATTTGCACGAGTGAACCTCATTGGCCCTGGGTAGTTTTTGAGCCCAGCATTGTAAAGAAAAAAAGCCACAAACCACAACTAGGTTAAAAGCCAAGGCTTACCATCACAGACTGCCAATGACCTTTTTTCCTAAACAGGGAGGAGACTGCTGCTAGGCAGGCCCTACTATGAAACACTGATGAACCTGGTCTGAGAAAACCCCTTGTGAAGCCCCTCCAGTATGTACACCGGAAACCAAAACATGCACCCTTTGGCGGGTGAGTCAGAGGGGGGGATTATGCGTGGAAAAATACAACTTTCTCACAGAAATCACATATCCCATGTGTCTAAAACTACAGAGGTGTCCAGGTTAAGCGAGGCTGCTTTGTATCTGCACCCACGGCCCTTTCTCCAGGACTTAGCTCAATAGAGATTTCTGACAGGCTGACTCATAGGATGTAGACAGCAAAACAATCATTAATAAAGATATATTCTTTTGTTCACATGAGAAATGTTTCCAACACAACAACAGATATGACTACATGATGTCAAATAAATGCTCTTGGCTTATTGGCTGTAGGTGACTGGAAAAAGAAGTGGTGGTCTTAGATGTTAATTCATAATACAGTGAACAATCTTCTGCTTTTAGGTTAAGCAATGCCTGAACCACGTTATCTCTGTATGTTAGAACAAATTACAACAGGTGCTTTGAGCAAAAGCACCAAATTTGTGAACCTTTTGTTTCTGTCGAGAGTTTCACTGGAACAAAAAGATGTGCGATAAAGCAAAATCCACCACCAAATGGCATTAACACGGTAACTAAACACACGGTAACACTAAATATTCATTGGTTAAACATCTGTGAGCAGTGGAATAGATCACAACAAGCAAACACTTCTGTCACAGAGAGTTAATTATAGGTACTACTATAAATTTACAGAAGCATATTTGACAGTAGCATATCTCTAGCATGTGTGAGATCTTTACCACGTGTGAGATGTATACCAATACAACATGCACTATGATAAACACAAGCCCCTTGTACACAGTGTTAGTATGTCAGTGTTTGTGAGCCTAACTAAATAAATAAAAATCTACCTATTAGGTACCTACATAGTGAATACATTTTACTTCTGTAGAAGTCCCATATCCTAGACCTGATCTTGTAAGGGTTTTATTGTAAACAGAAAACTACTGCCAATGTAGTGCACTAACTTAGGCTTGCAAACACATGATTGCTCTGCTACTAGACTTCTGTGGCCACACGATACGATGTGCTGAATCTCCTTTTCTCCACCCTGAACGAGATAACATACAACACCACCCAAAAAAGCGCAATGGATGCATGATTAAATGAGTACACAGTACTTTTCCACTGCAACAGAAATGTGTGACCATCCTACCAGGAAGTGTCACTGTGGTATGTCACAAGCTGTACTACCAATTTAAAACAAAGTTTAGTATATCACCCAATCTTAACTAGGATTACAGCAATACTGTCGCGCTCAATTGAGCAGTATGCTTCAATTCATTCAAATGATTACAAAAAGAAAATTAATTGAGTCAAATACATTAGATCTATAAAGGTATATAGAATATTACCCTCTACCTGGCTAGTACTACTACCTACCTGGCACAAATAAGCATTTTCCTTTTTACATTTTAATCAGGAACTGAAGCCTGTTTGACACACAAAAAAGATTATGTCAGCATCATAGATCTTGACACAGCAATATCAAGACCTTTAGCCACTTCTAATTCTGTGAAGCACTGAAAAAACATCCTACAACTACTAGACAAGATATTTTTAAATCAGTCAAGCATTCAGTATTTTGTTATTTGCAGCTAAAGGTGTGAAACTGAAGAAATCCAAAGCTCAAAAACTGAAATTAATTAATTAATAAAATTCCCTTACTTGTTTAAGATGAGGTTCTTCATGCTATCATTCCCCAGAAATGCAAAAAGGTTGACAGACTAGACCTGCTGACCCACTATGCCCACCTGGCAAGTGACTAAAACTACCAGCTTCCCAGAAACTGGGACTCAAAGAGATGAAATACAAAGAGATGTATATGTAAAAATAAATATGTAAATAAATGAACAAGTAAGCTACTACTTCTTAGCTTGGTCTTCACCTGCAAAAAACACAACAACAACAAAAAAAGCTAACACATTTTCCATAAACCAGTAAAAGTGGTAATCTCTAGAAGGTACAGAATTTCCTTATGTTAATCTAGTCCCTTAACCTTCTGTAGACTTTCCCGTATGCTTTAGTAGGCTATCACACAACACAGTTCCCACCTTGGATTCCCTGGTACTCCTTTGACACTTATTAGTCACTGAAATGATCCACCAATGAAAAATTGATTTACAGCTTCAGAAAACCATCAAGAGGCTGCACTAGGTCACTTTTCTACTGTAGAGCAGAGATGCCTCAGAGAAGTTCAGTGATAGCTGCACTGCATTTTCTGATGTTCAGTGATTGCGGGCTCAGTTGACCTAAATACAGACAGCAAAATGATGCGCCACATAGAGATGACATAATGAGAAAGTCCTATCAGATAACGTCTTGGAGCTTTAGCAGGTTGTTGCTGTATTTAAAATAGCCCCATTCAGTGTCATGGACACTCCAATCCTATTGGGAATCTTACTGTTCTGCCTTTGCCCTGGGCCTCTGCCTTGACCATCTGCTACATCTGTATCTTATTGATCAGGACAACATTGTCTGTAGACTTGTCTCAAAGCAAAGGCTGGGATACACACAGGTTCAAGACAAACACATCACGGTTTACTGATGTGAATACTGCAACACGTTTTAAATCTTATGTTTAAAAACAGTTAAATAAAATCTACTGTGTCCTTCCGTTTCTCAGTGATGGAATAGCCTTCAGTGAAGTAAGGGCTGATACGCAGCCTTCTTCAGCATTCTTAGTTTTGAGATACTGCTTGTGTGCATGTAGTCCCTTTTCTTTATTTCTGAAGTAGTATATGTGTTTGCATGCGTTTGACAAATGTGTTTGACGTTCTTTCCCATGTCTTCCTTTTCTACAATACTGCAGCATTTTTTCCTAAACTACAATGACCAATTTGCCCTTGTTGTCTCAGCTAGTCTGCATACTGACACCTGGTACCCATAATGATCTTGATTATCCAAGAGGCCCTAATAAACAAAATAACCTGCAAGTTCCTGGGTGTTACAGAGTAAGTACACTACAATGGGGATGTCAACTCAGTCAGACCATGAAACAAAGTGAGCAAGCACTGTGCAGGGCAGACTTGCCAGAGAACATTAAGATAGTACCAACAGGTCTATCCTGTATTGCATAGAAGCTGATTCAGCCCCCTAGGCACCATTTTTCTTTCTTTGGGCAATATGAAGGGACTCCAAAGTCAATGAGATGCTATTAGAACAAAGTCATGGCCACATACAAATTCAAACTCAAGCAAGATCAAATAACCTAACTTTTATCTTCAAAAGATATTACAGACAGCTGTAGTCCAGCAGTTAAGACCATACTTGCATAAAATATATACATGAAAAATTGGAGTCAGAATGTAGGTCTCATCACTGTACAGGGACAGTGAAACTGAACACAATAAAAGATCTGCCCTCTGACCAAGGCTGACTCTTTTTGCTCATGCTACGTGAACGCAGCAAGTAATCGGACACCGATCATAATACTCTATAAGCCAGAATAGAAATTCTTGGACCTTTCCTAGTTTAGATTTATGTATTAATCCGGGACAATATTTATCAGCGACACATTAATCAACACAAAGTAATTGTGCCAGTGTTAGCCAACTGTCTAAATGTCAACTGTAACTATGAAAGGCTGATGTTATTAGCCAGTCAAATTTCCTGTCATCAGCTAACATACATAAAGTTTTTGTACCAACAAAATTAAAGCATGGTGTCCCACAAGGTTCCTCTTCTTAGACCACTGCCGTGAATGCAGCCGTTAGATGCAGTTTTTTTCTAGAACTTGTCAGTCAACACAGATGACAGACCTTCATAAGCGTTCCAAATGTGAAAAGACATCTAAGACTGGATGTTGAGTAACTTCCTCTTACTTAATTCAGACAAAACAGAAGTGCCTTTGCTTGGTCGATCTAAAAAGATGAAAATAACAGGCAGCAGAGCTTTTTTAATGACTATGGATTTGCCAATGTAATCTCTGTTGCCTTGCATAATGATCCCTGCTACCTCTAATGATCTCAATTATCAACAATGTCCTAATAAATATACTTAGGAAATATATCTTGTCTCAGGTTCCTGATTGTTACAAAAGAATTTAATTGTAAAAGTGTAAAATATATAATACATTGATTATCATCACATAACAGTTACAATGTTCCATGTAAAGTCTGATGGGAAATGTAGTGGAGCTGGGGCACAACTTAAGGCAGAAGTAAAATGGAAAATGGCTTTTTTAAATAGTTAAAAAGATTGAAGTAGAATGTGGTTTTAGTAGTTTCTCATATTACAATAGCACTGTTACTACACATTAGATATATAAGAACGTAGAATGTGGATATATATCTAATTTGTAGTAGTTTCTCATATTCCAATAGCACTGTTACTACAAATTAGATACATATCCACATTCTACGTTTTTATACCACAGAGTGTTTCTTCATTTCTGAGTTGTGTGCGCACGGGTCACACACAGCACACCAATATCATTTTAATTATCTTCATGGTGCCTGTAACATAACACTGTTTTAATGTATATATATCGCTGTTGTCAGAAGAAAACCTTGTAACTCCAATTTCGATGTTTTTCATTTTTTGACATAGTTGGAAAATGCCTGTCATCCTTTACATTCTCTGTAAATTTCATGATGAATGGACTAAAAGAAATGACCCAAAATGACTTGGAAAAAAATCTGGTTCCATTGACTTACATTAAAAGTAGAGTATGTTTTTTCCTTCTCCTGTAAAGTTACCATTTTGGAGATATGAGGTTTTCTTCCAACAACAGCAATATATAAATAATAGCTAGAGCTAGCAGGCTCAGTAGCACAGCCTCCACATGGCAAGGTTAGTTTTAACCCAGTGTTACAACTAAGCCTCCCAATGTAAACCAAGAAAGAAGCTAATATCCCCTGCATATAAATTTAAAATGGTTAATTTGTTTCCCAAACATTTTTGCACACATTCATCAAAAAACTCACTATAGATATTGTGTAAATAAAATATATTTCAGTTCTTAATATTTGCTGTTTTTCTCTGTGGTCGAATGTGACTCAGCCTCTTTTCACTAAGTATAATTATTTTGATTAATGTATTTTTTATATTTAGGTTGGAAGACCTGTTGTTCAAACAGCATGGAAATGTGTTGCAATCTATTACAACTAGCCCTGCCTAAAGTCTAA